ACCAACGCTGCTGAATACAGCTGCTCTACGGCAAAGTTTCCACTTCTTGAATTCCACTTGAAGCAGGCTACACTGCTAAGGGAACGTCCACCTTGCTCATCCCCCACCTCCAAAACACTGATGACAGAAACCTGTACACCTTGCAGGGACGCGAGCCACTTCCCGCCCCACCCCTTCCTGAGAACTCCTTCACGGCACATCAGATGCAGCCTCCGGAAGCTACTGAGCCTCCTGACATTCAGCGTGAGTCCCAAGAACACAGCAGGACCTGGGCCTCAGCAGAGCTGCCTTCCAGGCATAGCGTCCTGTCGGGGTTCCTGCTTTCCCGGGTTAGTCAGGGTGATGCTGCTTGAGGAGACAACACAGACAATGTTTCCCCAGCGAGGCTCTCAGAGACAGGGAGCTTTTCCCACGTTACTTACGTCTGTGGAGGTGGGGCTGGGCAGGGACACAGGCTGAACAGGTGCAGGGAAAGTGAATGTGGTCTCTGTCTTTTCATTTTCAGGGGAGTCAGGATGACTGGATGGGGGGGATGTTGGGGTAAGGGCTCCAAACCCCATCACTGCATTGTATTTTGGAGGACGACCTATATGCCAAGAGAAGGGAACAAAAGGGGAAAAGGGGGGGGGGAAGAGAGGGGGAAAATGATCTTACATACCTTTGGCCAGTGTTCCTCATTGGCTAGCATGGAAAAGGAAGTGAGGTAGCAGACAGAAGGTTAATACAACAGTCCCAAAGACAGGAAGAGAAGCTAAGATTTAAATGTCATTAGAAACTGCCTGAGTCTCAAAAGAAGGGAGGAGAAGAGAGGACTTGCAGAATGACAGAGACGCTGGGTCGTGTTAAAGGGCCGTGCCTTGGCCGGTAGCAGTGAGGCTCTTGGACTGTGACATCTGATTTCTCAGGCGAGAACCAAAGCTTACAGGGAGCCAAGGCCAGAAACATGAATCTACTTTACTTTCCCATTATCTTTTGCATATTGTTCTCTAATGTTTCTCTGCAACCATCATTCTTCCTATATTAATGATTCTCGGCTCCCACAAATGGATTTATTTAGGATTTCTGCTTTTCCTTTTCTCACCTGTCTACATTTTGGTCATTTCACTGCCTATAAGGGTAGAGAAAGGTGAAGCAAGGAGACAAAATTCAAGTTAACTACTCTTCCCCCTTGCTGCTCCAGCTAGTGAGAGATATGTTCAAGGGGTAGCTGGAACCCAAGAGCTAAAAAGATGTCCTGAGTTTAAATATGAATTTAAGTAGGTCTGGACTCAAGTGTTCTCCCTAGATGATCGAGAATTATCTCCCCACTTTCCACCACATTCTGGTGACCCACAGGTCTCAGGACTGGGCTGGTCCCGTCTCAGGAAGGCCGTCATCAGCAACACTGCTAACTGAGAGGCCTGATCTGAGGAGGAGCACCTGCATCACACCTCATGCTACCAAGGATCAGAAATGACCCATGTGGGTGTGGCAAGTCCAGGCCAACCACTCCTGCCTGACATGTCTAAGTCAGGGTCACACTCCGAAGCTGTGAGTGAACAAAGTGAATGCCTAGACCACCACAGGGAAAAAAGAGCCAGAGAGGTGCACAACTGCCTACGAACACTGGTAATGGCAGGCAGATCGTGACTTTGCCAACAGTTACAATTTATATCAAAACCACGCACAGGAATGCTGATTCTGTCAGACATACACAAACATTACTTATGTGTGTTAGACTGGGGATGTCTGCAGTACAAAGACAGGTCATACTGGTGTGTCTTCCTGGGGAATTAGTGCTGCGGGGAGAAGTGGAAGATGAATGCTCTTTGTTTACCCACAGAAGGCATATCCTAGGCTTGTAGATACAGGCTTTCATCCTCTGACCTTGGCAAGAGATGCCAAGGTCTTTCTGGCTCATTTAACCCCTTTTCTTTTAGCAGAACCAGCCCACCAGCAGGCCAATTAACTGTGGCTTCTGGCTGGGGGCTCCTTTCTGAGAACTGTGTAAGAGGTCACTAAAAATTGCTAAAAACAAAAAATAACCCATGACACTGATTATTGTGGCCCAGGAACTAGTATGAAGCAATGGCTTCGGGTTTCTCATCTACATATTTTGACCACTTGAAGGACGGGGCGGGTGCAGCATGAGAACTGGTCACTCAGGGTGGGTATGCTCTCTCTGCGGGCGGAGGCGGCCGTGGTGTGGCTGCAGCCTCCCTAAGGCAGACAAAGGGTCGGGATGACCTCCTAGGCTCCCAGCAGCTGAGGCTGTGTGTGCAGACGCGAACATTAGTATGCTCCTCCACTCGCTGCAACCTCTCTAGCCTGGACTGTAATTCAGGGACACATTATCATGCAGAGAAAGGGACCTTGGGATGTATTACTGACATCAAAGAACAATTTCAGAACCTTGTTTATGAGCTCCAACTCTGAGCTATTAAGCCCTATTTAGACCCGCACAGTGAGACTGCTGCTGCGGTCCTCTCGGCCCTAAGAGGAGGTGCAGCGCCTGCCCTGGGGAGGTCTAAAACACGGGAGGAAGCTCTTTAAGAATTCCTGCTTTCGAAAGCCTGCTTGACAGTGACCTTTTCTTCTCACAGATTCTAAGTGTTCAGTGTGGCTACTTCTCTCTTTCCTGGAAAGCCTGCAGCACACGGAAACTTAAGTGATGCTCCGGTTTCTCCTGCAGAGGGATGACTCAGACACGACTAAGAGCACCTTGGCAACAGGGGGCTCTGTGCTGCTCAGTGATGCTAAAATGCTTCCTTCTGCACGGTGTTCTGTTCACTGTGCTATATTCAGGGACAGCCTGGTGGGCTGGGGGCAGAAATGCTGCAGGAAGCCATTCCCCTGAGGCAGCTTTGCTGGAATCCCAGGAAAGGCTGCTTTCGACTCAGTATATGCAACTCTAATAGGAAACCTCTCTCTCTTTTCCCCCCTTCTCAGAGAATAACAACAACAAAACTATTTTCTAGGGGAAAGGGAAGAAACACAACACGGAAAGCAAAGGCAAGAGGCAAGGGAGAGATAGAAAAGGTACTCACCTCTCTTCCGGGTCCCAGGGTGCATTGTACTGTTCAGGTAGGTGACTGCACTCTTCTTACGCTTTGAGGGTTGAAGAAGGAAATGTGATGGTTGGATAGCATGGTTACTACTAATACTGGCAAAAGCTAAAGACCGAGCACAGTATGCCTGTCAACATGCCAACTAGTTAGTGCCAGTCACCCCAAGGTATCAGTGCTAGCGTATTTTATTACATATATTCCAGGGAGGTCTCCCTCTGCTCCAGATGACAGTTGTGCTGAAGCCAGGGTAAGTTAAATTTTTAAGGAAGGTTTGTATCTGTTCAAATGTAAGCAAAAACTAAGGGGAAAGCAATGAATAATAAAAATGAAATAATGGGATCAGCCAGAGAAAAATCATCACTTTACAAAGCTGGGCAAGTACAACCATTTCCAACGGGAGGCGCTGCATAAGTCATAAGTGAAGTGAATGGTGAGGGAAGGGCCAGCGCTGGCCAGGAGTACCTCTGGCTCAAAGACCGCTCCACTGTACACTGGGTTTGCTGTTGTTCTTCTTTTTCGCTCTTGCCTCTTACTTTGGATTTCTTGGGAAAGCAAAAGGTTTAAATTAGAAGAGAGGTATAGGGAACCTCAACAACGTAACTTCATTATTTTAACTATTGGTTTTCCCAGACAAATTAGAGATGGGGCCAGCCTCTCTGTTTCACTGCAGCCTCAGCAGAGGCAAGCACACTGCTGGGAGCACACACGCAGGACGTCTACTCTCACCTCTCGGGAAGCAAGGCCACGCTGTCCCCTGGAAGGCTCTCTGTGACCGCATGCTTAATGGTAGACAACGCTTGTGAACAAGCTGTCCTGGTTTATTTTTAGATCACCGTGACATAGGTGTGGATGAACTTTATCCACAGACCTAGATTGAGCAACCATAGTTCACCATTCTTCAAGTAAGTAACCAACACAGGTGTAGCTTTGCAACCGTCCTTAAGATTCTAATAACCAAGAGGACCGAAAAATACCAAGTCAGGGGGGCATGTGCTACTCCATGCTGTCTGGGGGAGAAAGTTCCCTAAGTGAGCGGAAGTCACCTTAATCCAGGCAACTGGGTGGTCTGCCCAGGACAGCAGTGTGGATACAAAGTGAAAGGAAGGGGAGGGCTGAACATTAGCCAATTTTACTCTAAAAGGAAACAAAGTCCACCCTGACTACATGATACTCTGTTTGTTTTCAGTTTTCTATTCTAGCAATAAAACACCACTGTCAAGAACTAAGCTCTGGGCCAGAAGCAAGGCAACATTATGAATATTTTCTCTTACCTTCTAGATGGTCATGTGTTACCAATCCTAGAGACACCATGAAGGCAAGTTTCTGTGCCAGAGAAACAAACGATGAATATGCTTCAGTTTGGGTTCTCAAAAACCCAATCACATGTTCCCAACTAGAATTCTAGAGAAAGGCAGCCCAACAGGCTGGCGGCCTGCAGGAGGCCAGGTTCAGGTGAAAAGGAGTGGGGCATCCTCCACTCTTAACAGCTACGAAGCCACTCCACCGCTTCCTTGTCTCACAGCGACCAAAAAGAGAAGGACAAGGGCCTACATCTTCTACTTCCTCCATGGCAGAAATCAGCATTTTGAGTGGCCCAATATTTTTTTCTTTCATAAAAAAAAAATCCTTTTAGAGCTCTGGCCAGTGAGGCTTAGTTGGTTACATGTCATCCCGTGCACTGAGAGGTTGCCGGTTCAATTCCCAGTCAAGCCACATGCCCGGGTTGTGTGCTTGATCCCTGGTAGGGGATGTGCAGGAGGCAGCCAATCAATCAGTGTTTCATTTTCACAGCGATGTTTCTCTCTCTCCCTCTCCCTTCCTCTCTCTCTAAAAAAAATCAATAAAAATATTTTTAAAAATCCTCTTAGAGAGAAGGGGATTTCATATTCGAAAAACATGCAGAGCCTCCTATAAAACAAGCTAAAAATTCTAAGTAGTTTACTTGTCATGACGAGGCCTTTACTTGTCATGTCAAGTTAGGGTTTCTTACATTTTTGCTACCACTGACTGGACAACGCTAACTCATAGCTAAATGAGTTTCAGGAATGATAGCAGGTGTGCTGCTTAACACTATGATTTTTCATTCAAACATGGGCCTAAAAACATGGAGCAATTTTTCTCTGACTAGATTGATTAGGATACTGCACCTTACAGCTGACACGTCAGATGCTTAAAGTTGGAGAAAGCAACAAATTGATGCCTACTTTGCTCTTTGGTTGCATGAGGTCTGGAAAGTATGTCTCCATTTTCCACTGTACTACTGCATGTGGGCGCTATACATGCTAAAGAGTGCATCATCAATTTTTTTTTTTTTTTTGCCGGTGAATAAAGAATATCATCCATTGCTAGGAGACATACTCCTATAGAATTATTTATACCACAGTTCAGTCTTAAAAAATCCTGACATTTCATCCTCAACATTAAATATCATGGTATTTTGGCCAGATGTGACAGGTTCAGGCTACCCAAGATAGCGTTTTATGAAAATACAGTCCTTGAGGCAGGCACTGGAGAACAGAAATGCCCTTTACTATTATCTCAGAATCTTGAAGAAATGTTTTTATTTCTTATTCCAAAGTTAGGTGGGCACCTCTCCCTCCAACAGCCAGAGTTCTTTGGCAGGAAAAGCAGTCTTGGACTCGCTGCCCATTTCCCACATTGTATATTGAAACGGCATAGATTTTATGGGTGCCAAAAATAACTACATTCCTAATTCCCACTATTCCTTCAAAACGTAATTAAGATTAGAAGGCTGTCTAGCAACTGCTCTCTGTTAAAGCAGTGTGAGGACTGACATTCAGATGCACTTTCATTTAATCCCGTGACTGCGCCCTTCTTGGCCACGCACGTCCAAAACATCTCTGCCAGTCTAGACTGAGAGTTCATGAAAGAATTATTAAATTAAAAAAAATCTCTCCCGTGGAACAGATTTTCAGTGATAAACAAAACAAAAAGTTGTCAAGAACTTTTGTCTCATCTATGTATCACACATGTGCCAAGAACCAACTGCCTCTTTATGGCAGTAATTCTGCCCAACCAGAAGGTAAAATACCTGCTGCTACCTATGACGGCAGGTACCTGCTTGCCTACACCATGCAGACATAAGATATTCTTTAATTTCTCTTGATAAGGAAATTCTGCTAACAGCTTACTCTTTTTTCTCTCTCCAATTATTATACTTTTTAAATTTTATGGATGATTTTACAAGTTTCTCAGCAATTTGGTTCAAGTTTTGGTTCTTCCTTTAAGATACATTAAAAATTAATCCATTTCATATCAGAAAAAATGATCATTTATACTTGTTTTAGAAAAACCTTCCTGGCTTAATAAATCATAGTTCTGTTTTTCTTAATGACATGCAGCTTTGATGGCTTCATGCCACTATCTGACAGGGTTTCATTACAGAGAGTGCACTGAGGACAGAAGAAAATCACCAGTCTAATAAAATCCAACTTTCAGATATTCATCATCAGATCACCTGTCCAATTTTTATTTTATAGCTGCTTATGCTAAATCATCAAACTTAAAAATTCTCTTGTCTAAGGACATATGAATTCACATTCTATGTTTGTACCAGAGTCTTGTTTGCTATTTAAGTTTAGAATTCTATCCTAAGTTGTGGTACAGATGTTACTCTTTTCATCCCGACTTCTATGCTTCGATGAACTACTTTTCAGCGACTGGTTCATCTGGGATTTGGAAATCTAGTGCCATACACCAGTAACAACAAAAAGCAAATGTGACAACTGTAATCGATAACGTAAATAGACCTTAGCTGAGTGAACGGAACAGCTTATAAATGTTGGCTGAGACAAATAAACATAGTGATTATTAGGAGTGCAATAGGATAGCTGGTAAAATGATCCCCAATCTTACATTTCAAATTTGTGATATGTGTACAAAATGCCGGTATACCAGTTCATGGACACTCAAGGCCATACTCTTTATCTGCCCTAGGCCAACCTAACTTGGAAGTAACATTACTGAATAGTGAGAAAGCAAAAGAAAAGACAAAGTGTTCAGGAGCAAGTGTCCCTGCTGGTGTGTGAGAATAAGCCAGTCTCCTAGACTGAGCCACGCCTGTGGAGAGCTGGACCTACCTGAGGGTTCTCCTCCCGTTTTGGTTTGGGTGCAGCAGGTGGAGTGATGGTGTGGCTCTCTGTTTGTTTCTCATCTGCTTCTGTGTGAGATTTAATTGTCTAGGAGAAGAAAATTAAATGAGAATTCAGAATTCACTTTTTATTAAAGAATGAAAACAAACACAGTTTGACTGTAGTCAACAAGAAAGGAAAGAAAAACATTCTCAATCTGGAAACAGTAATAAAGGAGGTAATATAGACTTCATTTTGGAAGAAATGTAAAATGTAAGGCCCAGTTGAAAAGGTTAAATTGTGTAACTAGAGTAAATATGAATCTATAAAAACAACGGTTTAAATTATACAAAAAAAAAAAAAAGCCGCCCTAACCAGTTTGGCTCAGTGGATAGAGCGTTGGACTGTGGACTGAAGAGTCCCAGGTTCGAATCCGGTCAAGGGCTTGTACCTTGGTTGCGGGCACATCCCCAGTAGGGGGTGTGCAGGAGGCAGCTGGTCGATGTTTCTAACTCTCTATCCCTCTCCCTTCCTCACTGTAAAAAATCAATAAAATATATTTAAAAAAAAGAAAAAGCCAAGGCTTAATTCCTATGTATAAAAATAAAATATAGGCAGCTCTCTCTGATTTTAATGCATTTTAGAATGTAGGGGCAGTTTCCCAAAAGCAAGCACACTCTTGTTACATATGGGTCAAACTCTAGTCCACAGCATGCTTAAGATCTGAGTGATGTAAAAAAAACCTCTCACATGTACACGCTTCTATTTCAGAACATTTCTAATTACAATCCAAGAGAGGCTGTAGAAGTACCCTCACTTGGGATGTTTAAAACCCATCTGCATCACCCATTAGGGAGATGCAATTGCCAAGGAAAGGTCATCTCGCAAGAGGCTGACATCCTGATTACTGGCAACCTCATTTTCCAAAGGCATCCATTCACACAAAAGAAACACCAGCAGCGTTCTCATCTTCAGACACATATGGCAGCTAGCAAATTGGAAGACTGGGCTTGCGTTACTATTCTTACCATGACCCAATGGCTAATTCGCTTTATGAAGCCCTCTAAAACCCTGAAATAATGCTAGAACAGTAGGTGAAACACTAAACACACACCTAATTTACTTGTTCAAAATTTAAAAAGCAGATGCCAATGGTCTTTTTATATGGCAACAATAAGTAATTAAATAAGTGAGAATGAAACTGATTATTGATGAGCGGGAGCCAAATGAAAGACTTCAGTCCTACAGGCATAACATCAGAAGTTCTCAAAAACCATTATGCTGTAAAACATTTTACACAATCACAAAGGTCTTTCGCGTTCTTTCCTGGCTACTTTCATATCTTCCTTGTTTCTCATATTACTTTGAGAAAGTGTAAGCATCTGTTTCTGGGTACAAATACTGCCTTGTCCTTTTTTTTTTTTTTTAACCAGTGTCTTGTCCTATTTCCTCCTCTTCTACACGCTTCTTGAGAGCAGGGATTGTTCAACACACTTCTGCACGCTTTGTGCCTAGTACAGTGCCCCACGTAGAGCAGGTGCACTGTAAAGAAACGCTGATCTCCTGTGGGGAACATGACCCTCAGGAGAGCCACTTGTGTCTCCTCTCTCTCGTACCACTCACTTTGAACCAAAAAGGACACACTAACTCCACAAAACAAACCACCAAACACACCTACAAGGGAACACATGGGAAAGCAGTTTATAGTGACATTTTAAAGGTCTTGGGTGCCCGTAGCTCTCTTAATGTGGAAGGACAGAGGTCTGAGGGAGGAGGGAGACAAGAAGGTCAACTGGAAGGGTTGCTGCTCCACTCGAGACTGTGAAGTTCCTGAGGTCTCTCACTCCCATCCCTAAGGCTGCAAAAGCATGGAGTGGTAATGCCTCCAGGGAAGGACAAACCAATCCCTCTCCACCAAGGAATTATCCAGGGTCCAAGTTCTCTCTCTCACACTGTAGGATACAAGCATCTCAGAACTGGATAAAAACACAAAGAGCATCCTTGCTGAGCTTGTTAACCAGTAAGGCTGCTATGCCAGGTATCCTCCTAAACAGCAATGAACTGGAGTCCTCTATTAGGTCAACAAGAAGGTAAACCACTGAATTTACCACTAGGAAAGAACGTTTAAAAAAAGAATTCATGGGTACCTTTCTATGATATTACAAGTAAAATTAAAATCTCTATCAATGTTTAAGGCCAGAAACGAAAAGACATTCAAGCTCTAATAAGAAAACGAGCAAGTTACAAAATAATATATAATGATTTTTTTTTTTTGCTTTTACAATGTTAGTATACACACAGAAAATATGTGGAGGAATGTAACCTATACTATTAATAGCAACTTTGGGGAGGGGTAAATTATGGCAAATTTTACTCTCTTCATAAATTATGGGGGATGCATTTGCTACAACATATATTTCAGTAATGTCTGAATTTTTCTTTTACAATGAAAATGTATTATCTTTGTAACCAGAAAAAAAGAGAAGTGTAAAAGTAAAATAAAACTGAAAAAATTCTTGTCTCCTAAAAATTTCTTTATGAAAAAAGAGGTCAGAGAGAAATCATACTTAGCAATCTGAAAGAGGGTTTTGAAACCAGACCCTTTATAATTCTAAGGGCCCTCAGAGGTGCTCGGAGAGCCATCCCTGTACACAAGGCCAGGTGACTGTCAAATATGCCTCTGCCCGGACTCCGAAGCTGAGCATTCTACATTCAAGATTTTATTGCTGAAGTTCCGCTGATAATAAGTTTGAAAACTTCTGACCTAAAATATGTGCAAGTGATTTACTTCTGAATGTTCCTCAAAGTATTTCCTGGGGTTTGAGTAGGCTGCCAAGGAATAGAGATATGTTCTTTCTTGTGTTGCCTGAGCACAAGATTTTGGTGCCCAGCCTCTTAGGTCTGCGGCAGTGATGAGCTGCCTGGTAGGAAGCTGGGCTCTCCATGCACACGGTTCCTGTTCAAGAAGGCAAGGCTACAGGAAGCCTTCTCGCCCCGCCATCTGGCCGGCCTCTCTGAACCACAGTCAGCCCCCCAGACGCACAAGCTTCAGGATCACCAGAGACTATTTTCATGTGAATGAGAACTCAAGCCTGAGCAATTAGATGACTTTTTAAATCAACTTCTGAAAGAGGATGCTTTTCTTTGCAAAATTCTTCTTTATCATCACTGGTTTTTCTTTAAATAGAATATATGGTGACTGCCTATAAATAAATGTTTTCTTGTTTTTAAGTCTTTCTGTCATAGAACCCTTAGTATTTTTGAAGGTTACCTGTATTTCTCTAGCCTCATGTTTTTAAGAGAACATCTGTTTTTAGAAATATAAAGGCTAAAATATTTGAACTAAAATCCTTTTGCGTTAAAAGAATACCTTTTAGAAATTGTAATTTTTTAATTTGACTCTTCATTATCTGTAATAACCAGGAGAAAACTTTGAAGTTTATTCTTCCTGACATTCATAGTCCCATCTTCATCTGGATTCTTATTGGGCCAAAAGTAATATGGGATTTTCTGTTTACTATCTCCTCTGTGCCTCCTGACTGAAGGTAGCAGAACCCATCTGTGAATTTTTGCTTCACAACCAGCAGGGGGAGCTCATTCACACAGAACTATGAATCCATCTATAAGGGGATAATGGAAAAAGCAATCCAACTTTCTTCAGTAAGAATGGCCCTTTTGCATTTTAAATAAATTATCACATGATAAGCAACAGGTCACTGACAATGGTACTGAGGTAAAGAGCCCTTGAGAAGATGTATTTAGAGATAACCTAGCCTCAATGGCAAGGCTAATGCCCAAAGCAGGTGCATACTCTTGCCTGTACCTGTTTTTCAAGGCTTGGCTTGCTAAGCTGTACAGTTTGAGGTCCAGCCAGTCTGGTCCCTGGAGTAGCTATCACAATGCTGGTGAGCTGGGCCATGGGGAACGTTTTGGCTATGGTTGCAGTCTGCCCATTGACGACACGGACGGGGTGGATGGAATTCTGGGAGGTAGGGAGGGTTGTGGGGGTAAACTTGGTCAGCATAACAGGCCTCTGGATAAGTTGAGGAGCTGCAAGCATAGGAGGAGGTGCTGGGGCAATAGGAATGTTATTCTGGGCCACAGGCTTGGGTCGAACCTATGGGGAAAGAGAGAACAATTACCATATTACTTACAGAAGCTTCCTATAAGTCTAAGTAATTATCAGATCGTCCACACTATATATGTGAAATGTTATTTAGTACAAATATTAATGTTCACTTTGGTTGTATTATTTCTATAGAACTCAGGATACATAATCTTATAAAATACTCATCAGCTCTTTAGAGGGTCCAAATGCTACCCTAGAACACAGTTCTTCTGATTCTAAACCTATCTCCTTCTTTTATATATGCCGTCTCTTCAGGCTGAGGTCAAATGCCCAATCCAGAGACTGGTCTCACCCAGAACTTGTGCCCAGAGTATGGTAATAATGCTGCCGATGGCCTTAATTCACATTCTAAATTTCTTCCTATCCACACTTCAGTTCACCCTCATCTCTGACCCTCTAACCCCCCATCTTGGCCACCCCTTCTCTCAGTCTCCTTTGTGGGCTTCCTCTTCCTCTGTCTAATATTAAATGTAAGTGTATTTTGGGATTTTGTCCTGGAACCTTTCTTCCCAGTGTCGTCCTCACTCCTCCTGGGAGCTCTCATCCACCCTGGGGCTTCAGATGCCAACAATGTACTGAAGACTTCTGCACTTGTATCTTAGAACCAGACATCTCCTAAATTTCAGAATCATATTCAACTGCCTGCTAGACATCTCTACTTGGAAATCTCACAAGAAGTTCAAAATCAACGTATCTAAAACTCATTAATTTCTTCCTTCAACCTTCTCTTCCTCTTATAATCATCACTTCAGTAAATTTTCATTTCTTTCCTAAATAAACTTCAGAACAATTCTTGAAGTTTCCTCCTCCATCTCAACTTCCTAAATCCTTCTCAAATATGTCCTACTTTCTCTTCTCACTGCCACTACTTTTCCCTATGTTTGGCTTACTTAAACAGTGGCAGAAATTTAATTAAAAACATGGGTCAGCCTTGCCTGGGTTCAAATCCTGGTTCTACCACTTGCTAGCTGTATAACCTTAGGCAACATACCTAATCTTTCTAAGCCAGTATTTTTCAAACTTTCTAAACTGTGACCTTATGGGCAAAATCCTTTCCTCTTATGTATTAGAGTTCGACATTTAGTTAACTCTCCAGTTCTGTTTTCCTGAAAACCCAATAAAGATAAGACTATCAACTATGTTACCAGGCAACATTGCTTATGGTGAAAATGACCCCCTATTGCTAAATCAAAACTTAATGGCGAGATTTATAAATACTTGGGACACCATACTTTGGGTTTCCCAAAGTGGGGTCATGCTTATAACTGGGCATGTCCATTGCAGGGACCTTGAAAACCATGCCTATGGAATTGTTATAAGATACACTGGCTTCTGTGAGGCATCAGGTTTCTATGGCGGAGTGGCTCTCCCACTGCCCTGATTTCCCCGCCCCTGAGCAGCTGTGGAGACTGCATATGGGCTACTGTAGGGACGCGCATTCAAGAAAAATGTCTGATGCTGAGAAAGAGCTGGTTTCTGTCCTGCATCGTTCTAAGTAGATTGCTGCCAAGTGTGGCCCCTGGCAAGTCTGAATGTTCAGCTTAATTTAAGGTGACACTGTGGTAGGTGCTGTAGTCATATAGTAGGAAATACATTTCACACTGTAACCAGTATACACACATAGACATATATCTCTGTCTCTAAAAATAAAAACTTCATGAAACAATCCTTATGTGCTATGTACTCAAGTATCTTCTATTATGTTTTGTTCATTTTATTTAAAAACTGCATATAATCCACTAAATTGACTTCACAGCCAACTAATGAGGCATAATCCACCATTTAAAAAACATGGACTAAGCCTTAGAGTCCTCACCTAAAAAAGAGCAACACCTACTTTCATACGGTTGCTGTGAGGATTAAAATAGATAACCCACGTACAGTGCTACAGTCAGTGGCAGGTAGCAATATTCTCTATTGTTGACAGTATTCTAACTGTTCTTCCTCCCGCAGGCTTGACCACCTCTAATCTATTCTCCACACGGTGGCAAGGAGGAATTTTCTAAAACAAAAATCTGATCATGCCAAGTACCTGTCTGAAAAATGGCTCCCCGCTGTTCCTGGGATAAGGCCCAAATTCTGACACAGCCTATACTGCTCCCCAGGCTCTGGCCCAATGGGCTTCTCCAGCCCCACTGCGTACGCTAGCCTGAGGCCCACTGTCTCAGCCACACGGAACTGCATCTGGTTCTTTGAGCTTCCGTACATTTCTCCAACCCAGACTTGCGTATATGCTCTGCTCTTAGCCTGAGCATTTTTATTCTTCCCCCAAAACTCTGTCAGGCTGACTTTATTAGGACTTCAGGTTTCAGATAGAATGTCAACTCTTCAAGGCAATGTTCTGTAATATTCTTAAGAAGGAGTTGGGTATCCCTCCCTAACAGACAGTGTAATTGCCCGTAATGTGTCTGAAGCTCTCTGAGGGCAGGGAACTGGCTGTCTTGAAAACTGGCATATCCATAGTGTTGACTGGTAGTGCCTTTTTTGAAACCCAAGGTATTTATTAAGAATTTATCTGATAGCCTGGCTGGTGTGGTTCAGAGGTTGAGCATCAACTCAGGAATCAGGAAGTTGCGATTGGATTTCCAGTCAGGGGCACATGCCCGGGTTGGGGGCTTGATCCCCAGTGGGGGGCATGCAGGAGGCAGCTGATAAATGATTTTCTCCCATCACTGATACTTCTAGCCCTCTCTTCCTCTCCCTGAAATCAATTAAAAAGAAAACAGTTTTATAAAAAGAATTTATCTGATAAATGATTAAAATCATATAGGCAGTTCAGAAATCACCTATGGCACCCGACCACAAAATTCCTTTCTCTTCTCTCTTTGCCTGAAACCTGGGGCCTCAGATAGGAATTCCCAACCTTTCCATCAGGCAAATCAACTCCCCTCAAGACCCAGTTGGGGCAATCCCGACACTGCCATGAGAATGGTGAGTTCAGCTCAATTGCTAGGAATGCTCTCAAGAGAAGATGGGCAAGCTGTGTAGACCTGAGTCTAAATCCTCATAAGCACGGCTTTGTGTTTAAGTGTGGTGTTCAGTGCTATCTACTTTTCAGAGTAGAACTCAATGGTTTCTACTAGTTAGTTTGGCTGTTGTTTCCTTCCCTGCTCTCTTTGGCAAATAGGGAGGGAAAGTGGTATTTATACTCCTTCCCCACTGGCAGGTAGGTCTTGGCTAACTTCTTCCAGTAAGTTAACATTATAAGGTTTAAAATAGTGTTATCATAATTAAATTTAGGAAAATTTCCTTTCCTTACATCCCCCTGCTATTGCCACTGGTCACTGTTAAGAAACTGCAACGATAAAATAAGCTTTGTCACGGTATAGAAATCAGCAGCTGGAATCGTTAGCTAAGAGGGATCTGTCTACAGTTGATCTGACAAGAGCATTACAGGCCCTCAAGGATTTCTGTCCACCTAACCCTTATTGGCTTGTCAGTGGTTCACTCACCTGTGGAAGAAAGTTTGGACGTGGAGTGAGTCTAGGAGGAGGGATAAACTGTGGTACTTTGATGGGCTGAGGAGGTGTTGCCTGAACCTGCTAAAAAATGAGAAAGATAAATCAGAGAGGACAATAAATGTTCAATATCAAAGCACCACTGTTCTCTGCATCAGACAATATTTTCTATGTGCTTTCATTATAGAATTAACCACCTGAATTAACACTCTCCCACTTGCATGCTTTATCCCACAGAGTGAACTAATCACATTTGTTCCCTCACATACCTAATATGGAACATGCAGGCTCAGCAAGCTTAGGCAATTTCCTTTGACACTCAAGAACTTTTGCACTTAAGTATTTTAAAAGTCAAGACTGGATCCAGAGTAAAATCAAACTTGCCTCCTGGCCAAATGGGCCCTTTCCTAACATAGAGCTTTGTCTAACGGAGAATGCCTTTATTCCCATAGAGAAGTTTCCCACTTCAGCACCTGGCTGAGTTATCTGACTGCTTCTCTAAAGGTTCCTGGGTTTAAGTGGTGAAGCTTCCTGTCATTGCTCTCTAGTTTCACTCATCACTGGTCATCATTCAAAAGCCACCACAAACTCTTAGCTGCCATTTCAGGAGCAAACTTTCAAACCACAGTTTGGATATCCTTCCCCAAGATTCTGAGAACATCAGTTTCCAAATGGTTTATCCTAGAAATCTCATGCACCATTTTGTCCAGTACTTCGTGGGGGATAATTTCAAGGTAGAGTGAACTATAAGAATCCAGCAGGGAGTTTCCCAAAATCAGTAATATGGCACCAGGGTCTCAGCACTCAAGTTTCACAGGCAGGGCCGTGGACAGGAGGGAGAGGAACACCCAAAGGGGTGCATGCCTCTGTGAAGGGCATTTCCCCCTCAAGTCAAGTCAGGCTTTGACCTCAAATTATGCACTGAATGGGTCCTGGTCTTTGGTGTCAAGATACCTCTATAGTTAATTCTGAATAGACAGTGGGAAAGCCATATTCCCTAGTCAGCCCCAAAGGGTAGAGTGATGGAGATGAAAAAATCCAGCATTAGCATAAAATGGATATATTCTATAAACGCATATTCCTCTCATGTGGGCACACATGAGTAGCAGCTGTTGGCTTACCAGAGTGACTGTGTTTTTTGCCACAATTTGGACAGCCTCTGCCCCAGGCCCAGTGACCTTACTAGACGTCTGGAGGTTGACTGGTGTGTTCTGCACATCAGTGCTGAGCACAGCCTTCTGACTGTTGATGGCGGTCACCATAGCAATGGTAGGTCTCTGGCCCACAACAGAGGCAGGCATGGTTGCAGTTGCTGCTTTCAAGACGAGAGGTAGTGTCTTTGTGGTAATCATAGAAGCTGTCGTTACAGTCTTCTAGGAGACACGGAGAACAGATATTAGGACACTGAACTGTGATCCTATTAAACAATATCCTGCTAACCCCCAGCAGAAAACAAAGCAATTAATTCTCATAATCAATCAAATTCCTCAGTATAACATTTCTTTTGTGTACATAGAGCACACGGTTACTACAGAGAAAGATGATTTCTAGTTTGCCAGCGTTCTCAAATTTGGTGTTAAGCTCACAGTAATAACTGCAACTAATATGGGCATAAGGTTTTCAATAATGAGTGGGGTGGGTTTACAGATACAGAATATGAGTGTATCTTTTGGCTTTTCTAATTCTTAGCTTGCTCTCAATTAATTTAAATTTTGTAGAAGTTTCCAATCAATGAGGAACACACTATCACTATCCTTAATTGCTACAATCTCATCAATAGGAAGAACGGCATCATATGATTCTGACTATCTGCCATCTGTGACAAAAGGCAGGGATAAAAGGACAGTATCTTTCCCTTTTCTTTTTTTTTGAGTGTCACCCTGGAGAGGCGGAAGGGAACCTCATGAGGATTAGTGTAATTGTTGCCTCAAAGGCAGTAAATCCCAAGCACCAGATAATAAAACCAACCAGTATAGTAAATACCAGCTCTTGATACCAAAGGGATCTGTGTCACTACCTATAATCTTTTCTGTGGAGAACTGCTGCAGAAGTGACCAAGATCCAGTGAAACGTGACAAGGTGGCAACAAGCACCTGAGTTTCAAAAAGCCTCGTAGATGAGAGGACGGATGGAGGTGAGAGGGCTTGACTGGTGTTCCATGACAGCTACTGCAGCTGTGAGGCTGTGTTCTACGCTTCCCGCCGGAGTAAAGGAGCCAGGCACCCGGCACACACATCCATCTAAGTGCTACCAGTCAGTCACTCAGTACAGACATCTCAGGAACATGAAGTTTATCTGGTCCAACTTGTTGGTTCTGACTTTGATACCACCCCACCTTTTTCTTCTTTACACTTGCACTGTCCAATTTGGTAACTACTAGCCACATCTGGCTGTTTAAATTAAATTCATTAAAACAAAATAAAATTAAAACTTCAGTTCATCAGTCACCTAGCCCATTTCAAGTGTTGAGCAGCCATAGGTAGCTTGTGACTACCAAACGGGGTGGTGGCGATTTCCGCCCGTGCGGAAAGTTCTGTTGGACAACGTTGCTCAGTGAGGACTCCACTCTCCCTGAATCAGATCTGGACAAATTCCCTTGTGAATTTCTATTTCAGTGTCTATGTAACTACTTGTGTATTAAGTTGCTTGGTTACAGGCAATTCTTTATTTCCATTTTCTGCCTTAAACACATATACACATATATGTATGACCTAATCTTTTAACATCTTTTTTTTTCTTTTAACCAAAAATTTAATGATCTGGCCTGATCTATCCCATGATAGCCTAATCAGCAATCCTGATTAATCCTTGTCATCAAAATCACCCAAATCTCTGTTTCTCTTCTCTGAGTCAACAACACAGGAGTGGCTTATTCCGCTTGCCATTGCCTCCTCAAATGTGAAATGTGAAATGAGAGTGAAAGGGGAATACTCATATATGTTTTTTAAAATATATTTTATTGATTTTTTACAGAGAGGAAGGGAGAGGGATAAAGAATTAGAAACATTGATGTTTCTTGACAGGAATCGAACCCAGGACCCTTGAGTCTGCAGGCCAACGCTCTATCCCAGGGGTGGGCAAACTTTTTGACTCGAGGGCCACAATGGGTTCTTAAACTGGACCAGAGGGCCGGAACAAAAGCATGGATGGAGTGTTTGTGTGAACGAATATAAATTCAAAGTAAACATCATTACATAAAAGGGTACTGTCTTTTTTTTCAATAGTTTTATTCATTTCAAACGGGCCAGATCCGGCCCGCGGGCTGTAGTTTGCCCACGGCTGCTCTATCCACTGAGCCAAACCGGTTAGGGCGGGAATGCTCATATTTATTTTAGGGGTTAGCAGGCCATCTACTCTCTATCAGGGATGAAAACCAAAGAAAAGCTAACTGCTAGTTATCATTAGCAATGTTACTGTAGTGCAGCAGGACTGACTTTACATTACCAGCTATTTGTGGAGTTTTTTGTTTGTTTTTTACCAGCTATTCATAATAAAAGTTTTCAATTCAGTGTGATGTTAGCTCTACCTTTCAATTTAAAACATCTACATACGAAAAACTTTTCAAGTGGTGAGCAAGTCCCATCTTAGTACTACTAATGGGCTATGGAAGTGAAGCTCTAATCCAGTGGTTCTCAGCCTTCCTAACGCCGCGACCCTTTAATACAGTTCCTCATGTTGTGTTGGCCCCCAACCATTGTTACAAATTGAACATAATTAAAGCATAGTGATGAATCACAAAAACAATATGTAATTATATATTCAATATGTGTTTTCCAATGGTTTTAGGCGACTCCTGTGAAAGAGTCGTTCAACCCCTCAAGGGGTCGCGACCCACAGGTTGAGAACCGCTGCTCTTATCAGAACTCACTGATGAGATTTTTAAAGTGCATGTTGTTAACACTGCTTTAAAAGAGGTTAGTATACTTTTGTCTGAAACATCCTTGTTTCAAGTAAATCTTAAACTCACCTGAATTACATACATACCATCAACTGCAACATGTAAAAAACATCTTTAGGTTCGCATTCTTATTCTACTTTATATGGTGGTGGCTCATTTTACTATATGTATTCTAGCAGCTATATAATTCTTTCTATACACAGGCACAAGACTCAGGACTATATGCATCAAGTAAAACATTTTGGAGAATGTATTTTCTATTTATTGACACCAGGTATTGACACAGGTATTATCTGGATATTTACTCCTGCCCTAGTGCGTCTTCTATTCTAAGTATTAAGAGCATAAACCAATCTTGGAGTGTTAGAGCTTAGATGACAAAGACAATCTAGAGTTTTGAAATTCAAACCTAATGAAAACCTCTGAACTGTTCTGGCGGGAGGAAAAAAGACACAGAGAGGAAAGGTATCCAACAACAAAGGAAGTTATTTCTATGGAAGCTGTCTGTGGCCGGCCAATGCAATCCAAGTATGATTGCCTTCAAGAGAAGATGCAGCTTCCCCACAATTTCATGAAGGGGTTCTTCAATCCTGACAAAACCCAAACTGCATGAACTAGAAGGTAATACAGAAATACATGGCAAGAAGCACTAACTGCAAAATCCTTTCCATTTATTTTTTTTATTTTTTGTTCAGTTATTATTTTCTATACCTACAAAGCATGAGATATTGATTGAAAACTCAGAGACTCCAATGCACAAATCAGAACTTAGAGTTGGAGTTAATTAAGAGAACTGGTTCTCCTACTCCCCCGTACTTTGGTACCTGCTAACCTGATTTAGAATAAAACACTTTCTTCTTCCTGCCTATGCTGTGATTGCTACTTACCAGTTACCAGAATTGTGTAAAACACGTACAGGAGTACCAATATAAAGAACTTTAGGTATTTAATATACTCCATACACAACTTCTCATTTGTTCTTGACCTCATGAACCTTTAATGACTATAACTGCCAAATTCCCAAAAGTGTTGTCATGCATTGGAGGGTTTCCACAAGCTAATCGCTACCTCTCTTATGGTTTTATCTCCCTCTCCACTGTTTCCTGAATCCACACTCCAGGCACATCAGCCTCCTTCTATTCCCCGGGAATGCTTTACTTTTCTGACTCCACCCTACACTGTGATGCTCTATCTCCCGCTGCTCATCACTGAAATTTCACTTATCTGTCAAGGTCCTACTCAAATGCCACCTCCTTTGTGAAGTACTCTCTGTTCCCTCTTCAAAATCACTTGTCCTCTGGTATTTTCTCAGCTCTTTCATTTTCTTCTTTGTTAGCTGTTTTCATTCATCTTCCTCTCCTCTAAAGTTTTTAAATTCTTGAAGACAGCAATTCTGTCTTATTTGTGAATCTGTCCTCTACATTGCCTAATATAGTAAAGACTCAATACGTATTTAGAGAATGAATGAAAATTGCCATATATCAGATTCTAGGCAGGGACCATTATTACCTCTTTGTATACCAGAATCTAGCACATAGCGAGTACCCAATAAATACTTATTGTTTATTGTAAAAACAAAACCCCAAAACCTAGAGGACCTTTTGGCTTTTAACATTAAACATTTGCATTACATAAAATAAATAATATAAAACAAGCTTAACCAAACCAATCAACTATATTAGGTGGGCTTCAGATGGAGAGATGCCACACACAGTTTTGGGGATAGCCCTACGCCCCCTCCCTATCATCACCTCAAAGCAGCACACAACTCAGGTCATACCAGGAAGGGAATAGCTATTATAACTATTACTTAAGTGTTTTCTCTAAGTTGTGCGACATGGAATGTTACTTGAACAGAAAGTTTTCATGGATCAAGAGAGAAAATTCTTACATACCAAGAAATAATGAAGTCTACCACTTTCCTTCCATATAAACGCTTTCTGATCAAACTGTACTTTGGAAAGAGAACAACCTTATCCGACTCTATTTAAAAGTCCAACAAAGTAATCTGGTAAGCAATCTTTCCGAAGAAATACAAGTCCTGGTCCGGGGGTTTCAGAAGTCAGTTTGAACATCTAATTTTCAAATAACCTTGGGGTGGAGATCAGGTAAACATTTTGCTGGCTGCTCTATTATCTGATTCACAACACAGATTCTTCCTTTTCCTTTTTTGGCATGTTATATAATTTCTTTTTTTGGTATTATATGGCAGTACAGAAGAGTGATGAATAGATTTTTCAGCCAGAATATCTGGGTTCAAATCTTGGCTACACAACATACGACCTACATGATTTTAGATAATTACTTATCTTATCTCTCTGTGTCTTAGTTTTCTTCCTTAAGAGAGAGAGAGAGAGAGAGAGAGAGAGAGAGAGAGAGAGAGAGAGAGAACAATACAACACCTTCCCTATTAGAGTTGGAATGAGGATTGTGTACATTATATATTTAAAGCACTTAGGAGAGCACCAATATATAGTAATCTTTATTAAACTTAACAATCTTTAGTAATCTTTAGTATTTTTATAAGAAACACATTCTTCACTTGCAAAATAAATGTACATAAACCTTTTCCTTTACATATAAAGATACAGTGAAGACTTGGTGCTGATGGGTCAAAGATATCCACACTTAAGATTCAAAAGATCTAAGTCCTTGAAATCATGTGCAAAACTGAGTGTATTAATTATAAATGTGTATTTTTCTGGGAAGGGGATCCATAGCTTTCAACAGTCTTAAAGGGGTCTGTGACTTCCAAGGATCAAGAACCCCTGCTCAATTGTCCCTGCTCATTTAAACCTCTGCTCATTTTAAAAGCTGTGCCACCAGTGTGGCTCAGTGGTTGAGCACTGACCTATGAACCAGGAGGTCATGGTTCAATTCCCAGTCAGGGCACATGGCCAGGTTTTAGGCTCAAGCCCCGGTAGGAGGCAGCCCATCAGTGATTCTCTCCAACTGTTGATGTTTCCCTCTCTCCCTCTCCCTTTCTCTGTCTGAAATAAATAAAAAATATATTTAAAAAAGCTGTGCCCATATTATATCTAAGTGTGTGGAGATCGAACTTGAATAATTTTCTTAACTGAGTATTGTTCCCAAATATGTCCTTGTGTGTGTCTTGATTGCATCCCTATCCTTACATTATATTCTAGCTTAAATGCCCTTTACAGTAAAATCATTTACACAGCTACACCAAGTCAGAATGTCATTAAGCTTCTACTTCTTAGTGATAGTTTTGACCTGCAGCTTCCACTTTAGATTTCCTTCTGAGTATTAGAACAGATTCATATTCTCATGAATGTGGACTTATAAATGAATATTTTGTTTCTATGAATAATGGAAATATATCACCCTTCTAAATGCTCTTTCTACCCGATCCTATAATATCTCTACGTCTAATTGCTAAGAATTCCAGAAAAACAATTCCAGAGGCTGTGATATCACACAAACTTTTAGAAAAAGCTCAAATAAATATTTCCAGAAACTGAAAATAAGACGTTACTTCTGTTCTTATACTGAGAAGCAATTTTTCTTTGTCACTCACTACCTTTCCCTCCTTCTTTGGACAGTTGGAAAATGATTTAACTTTTGCTCCTTAGTAATGTTATTTCCCTCTGCAAATCAATTTCAAGTGGTTCCCATCACAGTTATAATACAAAAAAGGAACCAGAATAACTTTTGTGTAGGGCTGGTTGAGCTTAATACAGCCTGAAACAGGGCCTCATTCTACATGACCAATAGCACATCCATCCACAACCCACAGCCTGCAGTGTCCTCCCACACTTTACCTGTGAAGCGGTCAGGTTGGAAGAGGGTGCCGCCGACGGGGCGTGGTGGTGGTGGTACTGCTGTTGTTGCTGTAGCTGCTGTAGTGGTTGCTGCTGTGCTGTTTGTAGTTTGTTTTCAGATTGTGGCAATGGCTGTATTTGGAACTTGTCTGGTTGTTCTTGCTTTACTATCAGGTTCTTCCGAAGCTGTTCAACGACTCTTTTCTACCAAAGGAGAAAAAAGAAAGAAGAGCTATCAGAATACAGGCAGTCCTCGGGCAGACAGACTCTCGTCGTTTCGTGGTTACGTCGCCATCTCCCATTTACAGTATTTATAAAAAAAAAGTTCCGTCATTTCGACATATGTACATATGTGCTTTATGCTTTTTATTATTTACTTACCACAAGTAAAAGTCAGGAATTGTTATCTTTTAAAAATTTTTTTACTGTTTCATTTCATTACTGCGGTGTTTGTGCGCCATGTGAGTGATGTAGGTGCTTATGTAGGTGGGTTCCGACTTACATTGCGTCGTAGGAACGGATCTCCGACGTAACGCAAGGACCTATTGTATTGTCCTACCAGCTGTATAGAAATATGCAATAATCATACGCCTCTGACATCTTTAAAATTTGTTACATCTAAAATTTACAGATTCGGCAAATGAGGAGAACCTATGGCGTAAGAAACATTTTATACAGGGAAACTGAAGCAGGCAGGTGGGAAGAAAAGCTAATGGAGGTCATGCAGCAGAGCTCAGCTTTCTTGACTGTTATTAGCTGAGCATGCCAGGCGGGGAGGGCAGTGTGGTAGAGCATAGCAGCGGAGACACGGCTCTGGAGAAAGGCTGCCTCAATTCAAACTTCAGTTTTGCTACTTCGCAGTCACATGATGTTGGGCCAGTTCCATAACCTATCTATGGATCAATGTCCTGTTCTGTAAAGTGAGGCCACTAATAATATCCTTAGGATTCTTACAAGTACCAAACCAGCTGCTAGTTGCAAAGTACTCAGAACTATGATTGGCACATTGACGGTCATTTTTCTTTTTGCATCTGACTACACAGATACTAGCCATATTAATTTTTGTTAATCAATCAAATATCATCTATCTATCAGAGATTCAAATATTAAAGACTTTTAAACAAAGAAACCTTGATCTCAGAAATATGCAATATAAATGACAGGCATCCTAAATCACTGAAAAGAGTAACGCATGAGCTGGACGTCTCTGCTGGGCCAAGATCTGTAGAAATGCAGACGTTTGTTTACGCAGAGTAGGGATTTAGTTACATGGGATGAAAATTTTAAACGAACATTTGCTGAATTTTCTAGACCTGTTCAAATCCAAGAAAATGTGTACTTGGAAACCTTCATTACTACAGAATACATTTCAACAGAACGTAAGCTGCATGAGGGGAAGGACTTTTGCTCACAACTATACTCTGTAGCTAAGTCAACGGTCCTCTTTAGCTTCACATGACACGTAAAGTGATGGTTCCAAAGACCAGCAAAAGGCCCAGAAAATACATAATAACCATCTGGGGCCAGACTTGGGCTCTGACTCTTCCTGCCCTCATGGCTGAAAGTATAAGCAGCTCCTCTCTCATATACTTTCAAGTGAGTTCGTCAATTGAGGTTTGTTATTTCTGACAAAAATAATTGCTATTTTCTAATATAGGTTATGAGTAGAGAAAAAAGTGAATACAAATATTTAAATAAAGAGTTAAGTAAAATCAGAGAGCCAGGTTGATTTTCAAATTGCTGCATATGATTCTAACCAACTTCATTTGTATTCTCTAAAGAATCCAAACCTGCAGGCTACTGGCTTAATGTTGTTTGAATATTAAAATATTTACAAAATGGAATTTTAAAAACTTGAAGTCAATACAAAATACATTCTTGAGAGAATTTTAAATATTTTCATTATTTATTTCTGGGGCAATGAAAATATCATATAAAGGCCAATGGGTGTGGGGTGGGGGAGGTGGGAGACTGCTGTACTATATACTCTGCTAGCATTTCCTTTTTCTGTAGTTAAATATTAAAAAGAAAAAAAGGATGCAGAGCCCAATGTCTCTGTAGAAACCATCTGCAGAATAATAAAAATGCAAATTAATAAAAATATCAAATGCTTATAAAAATTAACGTTCAAGTCTCAAGTATAAATGGCAGAGTAACTGAACTGATATGTCTTAGGAGAGGGGAAAGTAATAGCAGGGGTGTTACAGATAATTCTGAGAATCACAGATAGATTTCAATGCCTGGTGACTGCCAGACATTTAACAAATAAATAAGTATTTAGAGGATAACGTAAAAATTGCTTTTACGCCCCCACCAAACATATTAATCAGCATTAATCAAACATAACACACTAACAAAAGTGTAACATAGCAGTGAGAGAAAGGGACTCAAAAAACCTTTTTTTTTTTTTTAAAAAAAAGCCCACAAAAAAACCCAGCTCAAATCAGGAGGAGGAGAGAAACCAGGAGGAAAACAACCACCACAAATGTGACACTTGCCAACAAATAAACTTTGAACGGGAACAGCAGAGGAGACTAAATAATGATTACACCAGGCATGAAAGGAAAGGGTGTTTTTCCCCCTACAGCCATCCGTAGGAAATACAGTGTTCTCTCTCACCGACTGCCCAACTGGGGGAAACTACAAGCAAGAGACAAAGCCCGGAACCCACTCCCAGGGCTGTGCAGAGCAGAAGGGAACAGTAGGGGGAAGAAGGAGAAAGGCACGCAGCTAGAGTACTTGGCAGCCATATGGCTGGAGCAAGGTGATGACCAATCAGAACGAACATCAGAAGGTGGGAGTCAGTGAGTCACGCTGCATTCACAATCAAGCCTGTGGAACTTGTGGGGGCTGGGACAAGGGAGGGTTCAAAATACTTGCACACTGGCATTAGTCCTTGAGCGGAGGAAAAAACAAAAAAAGGCAGGAGAAGAAAAGAGAGCTGTGTGGACTGGACATGGGTCAGATCATACAAGCAGGGCACATTTTCTGTGATAGAGGGTCTGGTATGTTTCAGAGTGCTGCTCAGAATCGCACGGCCGCTGCACTCCTTGCGCTGTTTATCAGAATATCAGAATACCAAGCGTGTAGTTGTGCATGTCTGTGAAATTTTTTTTAAATCAAGATTTGGGGGAAATGCTGACGCCTCCTGTAACTCAGACATCTCTCACTGCAGATTGAAAACCAAGCATCTAGTCAAGCGAGCTCTGCACGGGGTGCTGCTCAGGCGTCCAGAGGCCCTGCACACTCTGAAGGACTGGCTAATATGGGGCGGGGGGGAGGGCTACTGAGCGAATTTGTTGGCTTTTCTACATCTAACAATCCAGACTTGTTCTAGTTCATTCTGGTAAACACAAAAGTCATAGTCACTCCAGCAGGATCCTGATCTGGGTCGGGACCAGTTTTGGTGGCAGCAAAAGAATAAAGCTATAATATTTCGTAAATCTTAGCTGTGTGGTATCAGCGAAGTTGTTAAGTAGCCTTTTGTCTCTACAGAAAGTGAGCCTATATTTTTACTATTACATGTTTGTTTTTTTAAATATATTTTATTGATTTTTTACAGAGAGGAAGGGAGAGGAATAGACTAGAGAGTTAAAAACGTTGATGAGAGAGAAACATCGATCAGCTGCTTCTTGCACACGCCCTACTGGGAATGTGCCCGCAACCAAGGTACATGCCCTTGACCGGAATCAAACCTGGGACCCTTCAGTCTGCAGGCCGACATTTTATCCACTGAGCCAAACTAGTTAGAGCTACATATACATATTTTTATTGATTTCAGAGTGGAAGGGAGAGGGAGATAGAAACATCAATGATGAGACAGAATCACTAATTAGCTGCCTCCTGCAAGCCTCCCAACAGGGACGGAGTCCGCAACCCAGGCATGTGCCCTGACTGGGAATCGAACCGTGACCTCCTGGTTCCTAGGTTAACGCTCAACCTCTGTGCCACACCGGCTGGCCACTATTACATGTTTTAAACAAAGAAATCAACTTCTGAGGTCATTAATGAACGTTATGCTGGCATAAACAATTTGATATTTTCAATGTTATTCATATATAAGGCAGAACTTTAAGTGCAGCTAATTATGTTGGAACACTATCCTGAAGCTTTGCCATTCGTCACTCGCTAATACGTCAATGAGAATAAAAGAGGAGGGAAATGAAGAAAATGGAAGAGGAAAAGCTGGAGAGAATGATGGCAGAAATGAGGAAGAAAAGTTAATAACTTATCATCTTCTCCCCTTAATATAGCAATGGGCCAAGCTAGTATCACCCCCTTCAATCCATTTGTCAAGACCTGCTCCATAAACCCACGTGTAACTCTGAGCCTCGGATTCCCTGGACATTTGCAGGACCAGGTTTCATCAGGGCTTGTTCAGGCAGAAGAGTTCACAGAGTCTCTGACACTTCGAGCCACAGCTTCTGAGACAGGTAGTCATGTTGACCAATATTGTGACATTCAGTGATACTATCAACGTATTCACATGACAGCAAGGCAGATCCCTGCCTCCCCCCCACCCCTCCCCCCAAATACACAAGTTTATAGGTCCAATTCAACAGAAAAGCAGGTTCCTTTTCTCCTAAGTCAACCATTCCACGTTCCATAGCCTGGGTCAGCACAGAAGAAAGATGGAGGAACGGAAGGACAGCCTCCACCCCTCCAGCCAAGGCACCAGTTTGCTTCTATCAAACTCTCACAAATTTTAGAAAGCTTCTCTTGAAAGGATCTCCCGGTCCAAGGCCCTGCCCTCTGGGATGCCAGTGCTTTAAGTCTCTGCTTTCCTACACAGTCTGTCATTCCACTTGTCTGTGTTCTGGTTGACATGATCTGTTTTATATCAATTATGAGAGGACCACACCCACTCAGACTTCTTGCATAGTACTGCCTTAAAAATTCATCCTTTTCCCCCCTCCATGAATCAACCATACAATCTGAAAATATAACCTTCACCCTTCATACCAGAGGCTGATAGACACTTATAATATTTCACAAATCCAGAAAGTCAAGGACAAATCTTACCCATCTTTATACCTAAAATGCAGTGAAATTTTTAAAAAAATATATTTTATTGATGTTTTTTTACAGGGAGGAAGGGAGAGGGATAGAGAGTTAGAAACATCGATCAGCCGCCTCCTGCACACCCGCCACTGGGGATGTGCCCGCAACCAAAGTACATGCCCTTGACCAGAATCGAACCCAGG